ATTCATTGCCTGTCAATTAATTAGTTTGATGAAATAACCAAACCAATTTGTTTGTGTCCTGATACAATAGTTCGATCAACTAGCACTAAATCACTTAAGCGCTAAAGATCAATTCTTGTGAGACATGACATTTTTCATCACTTTATTATTGTTCACAACTTGCGTACATGTGATATTACATAGCGAACATTTATCTCTTCATTACAATATAATTAATTCGAAAACACTAAATGTACATCACTTTTTATATACTATTGTTCACAGTCCTCTCACAAAGGGTGGGGCCCGTGATTATTTTAATCGTGGATCTCACCCCCTTGTATGTGAGAGGACTATAAACAAAGCTGTCAAAATTGATGTAATTGTATCACTTCTCTAATTAGTTATCACATGAGTTTAACGGTGGTGGTTACTTTTTAGGAACTTTTTTGTCGGTTGTTGCAATAGTCACTTTTTTTGGCTCCATTCTTGATTTGTTGTACAATCTTTTGAAGCATGGCTTCTTCTCCCTTTATTCTTTAGTTAATTACTCATTTTTGAATCTTTTTCTAATCTTTTTCTCTGAAAGCAATTGTTGACTTAAAAATATGTCAATGCATCATTTATTCTTCTAAAAAGCCATTTATTTACTAAACACGATTCTTTAGAAGAATAAGCACGTCTGACCATCTGACCAGAGGGTAACCTAATGGATTCAAAAAAACAGTTGCAATAGTCACTTTTTTTGGCTCCATTCTTGATTTGTTGTACAATCTTTTGAAGCATGGCTTCTTCTCCCTTTATTCTTTAGTTAATTACTCATTTTTGAATCTTTTTTGAATCTTTTTCTCTGAAAGCAATTGTTGACTTAAAAATATGTCAATGCATCACTTATTCTTCTAAAAAGCAATTTATTTACTAAACACGATTCTTTAGAAGAATAAGCACGTCTGACCATCTGACCAGAGGGTAACCTAATGGATTCAAAAAAACCTTTGAAAATAAACTTGTTCCTATGCTAATTGTCGTGTACTCTTGACATCGCTGGAAGAGTGTGAATATGCGCATCAAGTACGATACGCCATATGATGTCTTAGTTCAAACCAAAATTTTTAGATGTATGGTGATGATACCATATAACTCCTAGGCTCGACTTGAAGGACGTGGGACGCCGAGCACTCACCCTCACACAAACACAGCCTTGACCTTTTCCCAGGCTGGCTCACCGTTGGCCGGGTGTTACGCTCCGAACACTCCGTCAACCCGTTTGGCGTCTTTTCTTCAGTGTTGGGGGGCCTGACCTCGCCGTAGGGTCGAGTCCCAAAGTCCCTACCATACAAGGAGCATCATTTCACTCGATTTCTTGTGTCCTAGCTATGATGGAAGTTCTAAAATCATCAAAAGTCCAATTTTATCTGGTCATAATGAGTATCATACAGGTATTCAAGTCATAAGCACATTTAAGGGAGATGGCAGGCCATTTAAAATTTTCCTTTATAATTTTTTTTATGTGAAAATTACTTTCCATGCAATGGACCGGCGGCGAGGGGTACTAGTGATATTTCGGCATGGGATGCATATTCGAGCTTGCTCAATTTGTTGAATTGCGATCTTTTAATGCAATCACATTCTCTCGTCCAATTGCTTTTACGTGATTTTTTTCTAAAAATAAATGTTTAATGTAAATATTTTTTAGTCATGTCCTTGCTCCGCCCAATTTTTTAGTTTTCACTGAATTACAACTCTCCAAACTCTATATATACCAAGCACTTACTCATTATTCGGGTACTTTATTCATCATTCAGTTTATAGCATTATAAACATTATTTTTCGCAGCTTTCTGACTAAGGCATTGAGGGGTTACGGAAACCACTCCCTAGCCTTTTTTGTAGGTCGTTCAAAGGTCTTCTTCGTATTTTTTCATCGTATTTTCCTAACTCGAGATCAGGTTACAATTTTTTAGGGTTTCAAAGGAATTCTCTACAACTAATTGTTGCGAAAAAACGTGAATATTGTTGACCTCCAAAAACATGCCAATAGGTGTCACTTCTAGACAACACGAACGTGGACAAATTCCACAACATTGTGATTGGAAGCTTAATTGGGTAATTGGTTTCTAGCTAAATATACTCAAGCACATTAATGAGATGTTCAAGATTGAAAATGTAAACAAAGCAGAGAACTTAGAGAGAGCAAATATTCATAGAGAGAAAAACACATTATACCATTTTTATGTTTGAAAATTATTCGCTGAAATACTACACCGCAAGTTTACGGGTCGCGTTCAAATAATAAAATTGACTTTTTGAGCCCAGATTGTCGATCCCTCGAAAAATGTATACTTTCAATTACACAACTTTAATTAATTTAATTTTAACAATAAAAATAAACACACACAATGAAAGACATGATTTTAAAAAAGGGAATTAACAAAAAAACCTACAAAATAAAAAAATGTAAAAATCTTGAAAATTTCGAAAGCAAATGTGGTTGGGATTCATGATTTCGTTTAACCGTCACCTAATTAATTTCTCCACATGCCAATTAACAAGCTACTCATTTATCATGTTAGACTCGATTTTTTAATTTTAGTTAATTATCTCTTTCGAGCGAAATTAGCCCTAATTGATTGGTTTAATCTACTATATCTCCATGTCGATTAAAATCAAACAACCGCATTAAATATTTGTGAAAATAACACAATGGGTCACCTAGAGATAGAGGTATATCTCCATCCCTAATACAAACATAGAGTGTCTATTATTTGGTCTAAAATGCACAATATTCCCTCGAACGATGTACAAATCATTTAACACAATCATTCATTGGTCACATAAATAAAAATACAATAAATACAATAATAGAAACACGTGAAAATAAGCAAATTAATATCAAGGGGCAAATGTTGAAATTAATTAAAGCTAAAAATTCAGTTACTACCATATATCTCAACACAATAATTTAGCTCATATTGTATAAATGAATAAAAGGAGAATATTTTGCACAATACATTGTAAATATGGCAAAATAGTTGAAAAAATACAAAGTTAAAGATACTACCTTTTGAACCCTGGTTATGACTTTCCCAAATATTTTTTCACCTCGGATGTGTTCTCCTTGCTCTATGATTTGCTACAAAATACCAAGAAAAATAAAATAGCAAAATGAAAAGAAAAGAAAATGAAAAGAAAGAAGAAAATCAGCCGGAACAGAAGTCGGTAGAATCCAGCCGAAGCCGAAAAGACCCCAGACCAATTGCTGATTTTAACATAAAAATCTAAGAAAATTGCATCCAAGTCCCTGAAGTTTTGAAAAACACATAAAATGGTCCTGGGTCCTATTTTAAAATCAAAACCGGCGCCTACGCGCCTGGGCTCTGCCAAGAAATATAATTTTTGTGCAATTTGCAGCTTAGTCCCTTAGGTAATTTCATGCCAAGTCCTTCAACTTTGATCTTGTACAATTTGGTCCCAATTTTGACTTTTATATCAATTTTTCCCTCCATAAATTGCAGTCCATAGTCCTCCACTTTCTGCCCTTGTACATTTGGTGTCCCCAAGTTCACAATTTTGCAGGTTTTGTCTCTTTCCACTCACTTTCGCCTTGTTTTCTTTCCTTAAGTGATTTTTAGCCTACAAAAACAAATATTATCTAATTGTGATTAGAATTTCATTCATTTTATCAATTAAAAGCATATTTAGGTATTAAATAAGTGTGCAAAAACACCTTTATAAAAAATGCATCCCCTTAAAATGTTACAAATACTGCTATTTATAGTAACCAAAATGATGTGGTCACCGCTGGATCAGATCCACGTGGCTTCATCTGTTAGACTTGTGTGTCACACCATCCTGTCTTATATTAGTTACATTGACAAACACATTTCACAATGGGTCAGTCGCTTTGCATTCATAGGCTAACATTCCTTACATTTACTTAATGAGAACGTCACATCAATCGTTCCTAAATATACAATTATTAGACCTACTCTTAAGAGCCATGAACCTTGGGTGTGAAGGAGTTCGGCATAAGGGAGAAAAGTACTTCAGCCAAATGATGAGAGCACTTAGACAGTGGACCTAGGATGAGAGTAGGGCCTCAACCAATATTCCATTCTTTATTCTTGATCGGATGCAACGTGTGTGCTTCCACATGACCCATTGAAAACTTTACGGTGGTCAGTAACAAATATAATTAGAACATACTCAGACATAGGTGTTATTTAATTGTTGGGGATAAGCAAGGTTCATTTAATATTCGTAATGTTATGTTCCCACGTCTTTAAATATTATGGGAACCACTTGTCAAGAGCTATAATTGAGTATTATTTAAAAATAATACACAGCGTTAATCAAAGATTATTTTATCCTTTTTCTTTTCTCTTTTTCTCTGAACGTAGAAAGAGATGAAAAAAATCCCTCTATTTATTTATTATTATTATTATTTTTTTTTTTTGAAATTATAAATTGTTGAAATCAGCAATAAAAGGGTTGATGGTATCAAAAGTAAAAAGTTCCGGACCCCACTGCAGTTTTTGCAAAACGTTTGGGACTCCGACTGCAAATTTTCCCATTTAAAATTTATGTTATAATAAAGCACGCCCAGTGGGACTCGAACCCACAATCGCCTGATTAGAAGTCAGACGCCTTATCCGTTAGGCCATGGGCGCTTCTTTGGAAGTACACAATAAATTATTTATAAATACCAGAGACACTGTAGAAGCTGGACACATTTTTATTAGGTCTTCTGTGAATTTAATTTCAGTTGTGAGTGGGGTTTATTTATTTTTATTTTTTTTCTCCAACAATTTTCCGTAGGACTTCAACTATTGTAGTACATTTCGTTTTTAAAACTTTTACCATATTTCTTATGGCCACGATTTTTTTTTGAAAAATCAGTAAAACTAAATAACATTAAGAAAGCGCATTTCATTCTTATACAATATCTCATCATTTTGTTACACCATGAATCCTTATAATTGCTTGATTTAATCTTTATAATTCAGTATGAAGTGATGGGAATGATGGAAAGTGTGCATGCAAAAAATTTTATTAGATTCATAGGTTCTCACATAAAATTGTGGTTTATAATCAATCTACCTTCAGACTTCTTGAAAAAACCATGAGATAGTTTTCAAAATCGACATGTGAGTCAATTTATTATTTAACAAAAAGTGGAAGGGTGAATAGCCCACAGATTGGCCTAAACATTTTAATCTTCAAGTTCAATGATCTTAACTACGGATGCATCTCCAACTTTCTGGCAGACAACAACTCGATCATGCGACTTCACAATTCCCAAGGTCTTCCCATGATCAATTGCAACTTTTAGAACCGACTCGTCGATGGCATCTATTGACTCGGCCTACAAGATAAACAGATGTTGAGTTAACATGAGTTTCATCAAGACAAAATTTGACCATAGCTAATGAGCACTATACAGTATAGAAAGAATAACACCTGAAGTCCAAAGGACATTAAAAAATAATCAAAGAAACAAAAAGCCTGTCGTGGTACCAAGACTAGGTCTCAATTCATATGCCAAAGAAATGTGATTCCCAATCAAAAGGAAACAAAATGGATATTACATAATACAACAGAACTATGCAAGATATTGCGATATGAATATCCATTAACTATTTACATTTCTTCGACTGAAAAGTGCAAATATGGAGGGTCGACCGTTTATTAAAACAAAGGAACTTACCGGCTGGCGAGGATCAGCAATCAAGGGAAGAAGACCTCGAACTATAAGTGATTGCGTTGCCTGAACATGCAGAAAAGATCCATCGGCCTAGAATGTCAGAAGAAGACAACATTGCAAGAAGAGAAATAACAATATATATTTCATAGAACAAGGGAAACATGAAATTGATGCGATGGGAAATAAAATTAAAGAAAACATGTCACTCGTTATCATAAATTCTTTAAAAGACAAAAATCATTAGCTATCAAGAAGCAGCAACTAGGACCTAACAGAAAAAGAAGTTTCTCTTTGAGTGCCAATATCATTGTCTCAGAATTCATCAAAATTTTATAGATAGATATCTTACCTTGAAAGCAAGTATAGTTTGAATGATAATACTTCAAAAGAAAGTTGTTTAAATGAGAAAGTACAAGAGATCTAAAGAACACATCGGTGTGATTGCGTGATGGGAGAATGTCACCGCGATGCGCTGTAATATAAAGTGTCCTATTTCTTAGAAATTGTCATGCTCAGAGTTTGGTGTCAGTTTAGTGTCGTGTCAATGCAGTGTGTAGCTGGGAACTAAAATGCCCAAGGATCAAATCATAAGAGGAAGCTCATTTGCCTTCAAAATAGGAATTTATTGATGAAAATCAAAAGCACAACTGTAAACCGACTATGCAACCAAGAGAAAAGCTTAAGTATTAGAAAAACTAAAATTGAGTTGACTGTATTAAGCCCCTTTTTGACAACCATTAAAACAAAACTTTTTTCCTCAAATTAATTTTCAATCACACATTCTCACAATAAAATAATTTGTACATAAACCCAAATTTTTTCCTACTTTTTAATCACACATTCTCAAAAAATCACTATTCCAAAACTCATTTTCCCCAAAAAACTCATTATAATGGTCGTCAAACAGGTGCTAAGCACCATGTAAACAGTTCATCAAATGCATTGAACAATATGTTTTTAGATATCACTATATATTGAAAGAGGGTCCATGGTTTACCTGAAATGCACTACTAGAATTTGTTTTGAGGCGCGGGATGACAACTGATAGAACAGGCATCGTCGGCCTATACTTAGCTATCAATCTGCATTTACAAGTATTAAAGTAGTCAAAATCGCACAAGAATCAGCAACATAATAAGTATTTCAAGATATCCAATGCATAAGCACCATTGAGTATGTACCTTGCAGCCCTTCCAGAAGAAGTAAAACAAATGATAATCGATGCCTTCACCTTAATGGCTGCCCGAACCTAAAGATGAAAAAAATAATTACTTAAATCTTCTCCAAATTCGAGAACAAAGCGCTACAATCACAAGAAATATTCATTTGCACAATTTCCTTTTTCTTCTTCTGTCCACTTTTAAGATCACAACATACCGCAGAGGAAGCAATGGATTCCAAGTGTGCCATAGGTTCCCCAACATACTTTACAGTCTCCTTGAAGTATTGGTCTTGATTGAAAACCTTCTCAGCCTGCAAGCCAGTTTCGTGCAGGTTATGTCCAAAAAGAACAGATTGCAGTGCATGAAATGTAAATCAAATGTAAAAAGGAAAACAAGAAAAAAATCAAATGATGTTCCTAATTCAAGAAAAAGATGATGAATAAATCTCAGGTTTCACAAACCAACCATAAAATGCACATTTATTTAACCGTGATTTTCAGAATGAGGTGATACAAGTAAAAATTAACTACATATTCTTACCTCAGCACAGATTTTGCCAACTGTAGAAATAGTTTCAATAGGGTATAATCCACGTAAAGTCTCAGCCCCAAGAAGAATAGCATCACATCCTGAACAAAAACGATGAAAAGAAAATCACCCTTGTTCAGCTGCTGATAGCTTCAAAGTGCAATGAGTATAAATTGAATGAAGTTCAATAATAAAGAAGATAAAGATATAGAGAATACAGATTCAAAAATCAAACAAAAAATATAAATGAATAAAACGTCATAATACATAATGTAATGAAGTAAGATATAGCTACAAGTTGGTCCAACTGTCCATCAATATTTCATGAACTCGTAGGTCTTACATACTCATAGAACAGTGACTTACCATCCAGAACAGCATTAGCAACATCAGTTGCCTCAGCACGGGTAGGCCTCAAATTGTTGGTCATAGTATCAACAACACGAGTTATGACAGCTGGCTTTCCAGCCATATTACATTTGTAAATGGCAGACTTCTGAAAAAAGAACACCTGCAAATGCCGAAGAAAGTTAGCTAGCAAAAGGTTTTATACAGACCAAAAACTAAGGTCATTAACAGTGATGAGAACTGCGTTGATGATTACACTAGAATAATGACAAGGTTGGTACAGAATTTTGCACTCTATAGCATGTTAGTTCTACTAAAAATGGCCATAATTCACCCAATCAACTTCCTGTAGAGATCCAATTCACCCCTTCTATTTGATAATATCAGCCAATGGTCTTGCATGAAAATACCCAAGTGATAAAGGGAAACAGATTGGTTAATTTGAAATTTTATGAGAATTAAGGCATGCAACATACAATGACATGACAATAAATAAGACATAACTTGCAATCTTCAACCCCAAATAATCACCACCGACTATCCAGCCAACGCCTCATTCTTCCTCACCCCTCATTTTGAAGATCGTATACGATTGACCAGGCCTTCGCTGCAAGCAGGAGCAAACTGTTGGGTATCACGTACGGCTGTCCGCAAGAGCGTGACCAAGGCCATGACCAAATTACCTCCCACTCCCAGACGGGGAACCTCATGCCCCTTCTAGAGACATTGGGAAAGTCCCTGACACACCTATGCCAATATATCAGTTTTTGAGCTCATGATGGGTCTGGAAAGTAGTCAATATGCTTTCTTATCTTACATGGATATGACTGCTTTCCAAGAGCTATAAATGCCAAAGGACGAATCCGAGATCTCATCACTAACTCGTAAGGGTGTTGAGAATTGTTTTTGTTTTTCTTGCTAGAAACTTTTTCAAAAGTATTCAAAGCTTGAATTTAAAAACTTACTTCTGAGGTGAGCATCTATATGCCGTTACTACACTTGAAATTCCAAAAAGGAAGAACACCTCTTAAATGATTGCTTGCATGTGTCCGCCATAAATAAGAAAGAGCAATCTCACTTTCTTCTTCAATTTCTAACCTAGTTTCCTACTGTTTGCAACAGTTGAATCAATGAACTATTGACAATCAGAAATTTGAAACTGGACAATTGGGATAATGCCCATGTGGTGAATTTGATGGTGAGGATGGTAGGTTGCGAGTAAGTCAGCGAGTGTCAGCCTGATTTTTAATTTGGGATGGTGTAGATTGTTCTTTGGGTGGTGGCAGGAGGTGGCTAGCATTCTTAATGTTGCAGGTGGTCGTGAATGGTAGTCAACTGAAGGGAGAAATTGATTGTAGATAAATTGTATGATATTTGTGGATGTACAACGGTGTGTTTCCAGTGATTAATGGTGACTGGTGATGGCTATATGCACTAGCTGCAGTGGGTGATGGAGCTAGTTTTGAAATAATCACTATCCAGTTGATTGCTTCAGAAAATCGAATATAAACACTAAAGACATGTATGGAGAACAAAGCCGCAAAAGGCTTCATTCTGAACAATGAACATATTTGCAAACTTAAAACTGAGATGAATATGGCAAACCTTTGAAAAATTATCAGGTGAAACATTGTTGTCTAGGCTACAATAATCAATCGAGTCAAATGTATGTTTATACGAAAAAATACATACGATTTTCTTTATGGAGGGAGCCCCAACCCACACAAAAGCTAAGAAAATATAATATTATTGTAAGTAGCTTTTCTACAAGCTGTCTAGCTCCAGTTGCAGCCGTTTCATCGAAGCATTTGAAAGTTCAATTAGGCGTCATTTCACTACTGGCAAGTCAGAGTAGAAAAATTCTGATATTCACCAAGAGTCATTTCATGGGTGTAAATATTAAAAAGTTCAGAGCACATAGAGAACTGAAGACTCGGAAGGGGAAGAAAAACAACCTACCTCCTAGTGTTGTGCATGCAAAGATAATCAAGATGCCAAGCTTTCGTCATTTCGGAAGTCAAAATATTAAATTTGAAAGTTGACACAGTATAGAGAGAGGTACAGAAAGATATCTTTACTTGTGAGACATGACATTTTTCATCACTTTATTATTGTTCACAACTTGCGTACATGTGATATTACATAGCGAACATTTATCTCTTCATTACAATATAATTAATTCGAAAACACTAAATGTACATCACTTTTTATATACTATTGTTCACAGTCCTCTCACAAAGGGTGGGGCCCGTGATTATTTTAATCGTGGATCTCACCCCCTTGTATGTGAGAGGACTATAAACAAAGCTGTCAAAATTGATGTAATTGTATCACTTCTCTAATTAGTTATCACATGAGTTTAACGGTGGTGGTTACTTTTTAGGAACTTTTTTGTCGGTTGTTGCAATAGTCACTTTTTTTGGCTCCATTCTTGATTTGTTGTACAATCTTTTGAAGCATGGCTTCTTCTCCCTTTATTCTTTAGTTAATTACTCATTTTTGAATCTTTTTCTAATCTTTTTCTCTGAAAGCAATTGTTGACTTAAAAATATGTCAATGCATCATTTATTCTTCTAAAAAGCCATTTATTTACTAAACACGATTCTTTAGAAGAATAAGCACGTCTGACCATCTGACCAGAGGGTAACCTAATGGATTCAAAAAAACCTTTGAAAATAAACTTGTTCCTATGCTAATTGTCGTGTACTCTTGACATCGCTGGAAGAGTGTGAATATGCGCATCAAGTACGATACCGCATATGATGTCTTAGTTCAAACCAAAATTTTTAGATGTATGGTGATGATACCATATAACTCCTAGGCTCGACTCGAAGGACGTGGGACCCCGAGCACTCACCCGCACACAAACACAGCCTTGACCTTTTTCGAGGCTGGCTCACCGTCGGCCGTGTGTTGGGGGGCCTGATCTCGCCGTAGGGTCGAGGCCCAAAGTCCCTACCATAAAAGGAGCATCATTTCACTCAATTTCTTGTGTCCTAGCTACGATGGAAGTTCTAAAGTCATCAAAAGTCCAATTTTATCTGGTCATAATGAGTATCATACAGATATTCAAGTCATATGCACATTTAAGGGAGATGGCAGGCCATTTAAAATTTTCCTTTATAATTTTTTTTATGTGAAAAAAACTTTCAATGCAATGGACTGGGGCGAGGGGTACTAGTGATATTTCGGCATGGGATGCATATTCGAGCTTGCTCGCTTTGTTGAATTGCGATCTTATAATGCAATCACATTCTCTCGTCCAATTGCTTTTACATGATTTTTTTCTTAAAAAAATGTTTAGTGTAAAGATTTTTTAGTCATGTCCTTGCTCCACCCAATGTTTTAGTTTTCACTGAATTACAACTCTCCAAACTCTATATATACCAAGCACTTACTCATTATTTGGGTACTTTATTCATCATTCAGTTTATAGCATTATAAACGTTATCTTTTTCGCAGCTTTCTGACTAAGGCATCGAGGGGTTACGGAAACCACTCCCTAGCCTTTTTTTTAAGGTCGTTCAAAGGTCTTCTTTGTATTTTTTCATCGTATTTTCCTAACTCGAGATCAGGTTACAATTTTTTAGGGTTTCAAGGGATTCTCTACAACTAATTGTTGCAAAAAAACGTGAATATTGTTGACCTCCAAAAACATGCCAATAAGTGTCACTTCTAGACAACGCGAATGTGGACAAATTCCACAGCATTGTGATTGGAAGCTTAATTGGGTAATTGGTTTCTAGCTAAATATACTCAAGCACATTAATGAGATGTTCAAGATTGAAAATGTAAACAAAGGAGAGAACTTAGAGAGAGCAAATATTCAGAGAGAAAAACACATTATCCCATTTTTATGTTTGAAAATTGTTCGCTGAAATACTACACCGCAAGTGCGCGGATCATGTTTAAGTAATAAAGTTGACTTTTTGAGTCCAAATTATCGATCCCTCGAAGAATTTATACTTTCAATCACACAACTTTAATTAATTTAATTTTAACAATAAAAATACACACAATTAAAGACATGATTTTAAATAAGAAAATTAACAAAAAAAATCTATAAAATAAAAAAATCTAAAAATCTTGAAAATTTCGAAAGTAAATGTGGTTAAGATTCATGGTTTCGTTTAACCCTCACCTAATTAATTTCTCCACATGTCAATTAACAAGCTACTCATTTACTATGGCAGACCCAATTTTTCAATTTTAGTTAATTACCTCTTTCGAGCGAAATTAACCCTAATTGATTGGTTTAACCTACTATGTCTCTATGTCGATTAAAATCAAACAACCGTGCCTCCCAGGGCACATTCCAATTGGCAAAGATGATGACGCTTCAAAACTAGCAGATCAGAGGTCGTGAGTTCGATCACTGGAAGGCTCTTAAAAGACAGATATTCTACTGGAAGGCATGATTTATCCTAGAAGACAGGAACTCTACTGGAAGGCAAGGTGTAAAGATGGGAAACGACTTGCTTGACACTTTGACAGATCAATTGAGAGCTCTTGAGCACTGGTCAATTTGGGATACAACCTGCGGTTTAACCTGTCTGCAGCTTGAGGGGTCAAGGTGTAGACTACAAGATTTAGTCACTGTAAGGTGGATACCTGGATATCAAAAAATAAATAAAAAATCAAACAACCGCATTAAATATTTGTGAAAATAATTCAATGGGTCACCTAGGGATAGAGATATCCCCTACACAAACCTAAAGTGTCTACTATTTGGTCTAAAATGTACAATATTCTCTCAAAAACGATGTACAAATCACTCAACACAATTATTCATTGGACACATAAATAAAAATACAATAAATACAATAATAGAAAATAAGCAAATTAATATCAAGGGGCAAATGTTGAAATTAATTAAAGCTAAATTCAGTTACTACCATATATCTCAACACAATAATTTAGTTCATATTGTATAAATGAATAAAAGGAGAATATTTTGCACAATACATTGTAAATATGGCAAAATAGTTGAAAAAATACAAAGTTAAAGATAGTACCTTTTGAAGATTGGCTATGACTTTCCCAAATATTTTTTCACCTTAGATGTGTTCTTCTTGCTCTATGATTTACTCCAAAATACTAAGAAAGATAAAATAGCAAAATGAAAAGAAAAGAAAAGAAAAGAAAATGAAAAGAAAGAAGAAAATCAGACGGAACAGAAGCCGGCAGAATCCAGCT